AGACTACGAACGGAGGACGACTGGGAAGGCTTCATTGATGCCGTCCACACTGAGCGCAACACACCCAAGGTCGAATGGTCAGCTTTTATCCTAATCGAAACACACTACGACCCTACAAGGGCTGCTTCTCAATTCGAGTTCGACCAGCAAACCCCGTTGCACCCCTCTCAGACTCAGTCCAGGGCCCGAAAGCCTCTCATCCCTCGACCTAGGCACAGTGCTACCAACACTGCTCTCCAGGGCATTTCGAATGAACTTGCGAATGATCCTCAACGCTACAAAAGGATCCTTGCTGTTCAGACCCTACAGGCTAAGCACAAATGCGCCAAGCACCACCAGCAGTACTGCTATGTTCATCCTTTTTCTGGCTATCATCGATACATATCCAATGATCTCCTCAATCTATGGTCTAAGTACTTGGTCGCGAAAGAACATGGGGTTACCGTTGAGGATCCACCCATCCATGATCCCCTTTTCGCTGAGTTGCTCAAACCACACAAGTCGACAGATCAGTCCGAAACACCTGAAAGCAGGCACTCTTCGTCCGGTATGCCTCAACTACCTACACCAGTGACTGCGCCTCGATTCGATCTACTGCCGCTACCTCCCTCAAGTCAGCCTACTCCGGCCCCTACCCCAACAACCATTGACACGCAAATGCTCAGGGGCTCGAGCCCTCTTCAAGGGCCGGCTGCTGATGATTTGGACGGGTTTCTAGCCTATGTCAAGACCAAAGTTCCGGAATACATCGACTTTGATTGCCAGACGGTTCGAGATGCAATTATCGACAATGGAGTAGTGCTAGACGATCTCAGAAACATTGATCCGAATGGCCTACCGCCTGTGAAGCATGGATGGGTGAGGATTATGCGCAAATGGTGGCCGGTTTGGAAAGGTATCCAGCGGGAGCAGCAATCGAAGCCTAGGGGTCCCCTAGGCCTCGAGGAGACACCCTTCGAGGTCTACGAAAGCCAGGAGTTTGACGAAAGCTTTGATTTATAGTTATCTCTGTCGTACTGTACTGCTTTTCAATCCACAATGCTTGATTCTTTTGCAAACCTGTACTCGAGCACGAAACGACGTTGTCAAGAATTATGCACGCTAAGGCAGGGCATGATGTTTTGTCAAGGATTATGCACGCTAAGGCAGGGCATGATGTTTTGTCAAGGATTATGCACGCTCAATACCTGCAATACCTGCGTTACCTGCGTTAGCGTGCATAATCCTTGACAAAACATCATGCCCTGCCTTAGCGTGCATAACTCTTGTCTCAGAGGAGCGTAATCTAGTGAGCTACACTCGCATGCTACGTAGGTGGGGCAGTTCCCGGCCATTTTGTTAGGGAAAGGACCCGTGAGAACGGCAAGTACGTGAATAATGAACGAAATGTTCCTTTGATTCATGAAAATACTGAGAAGAACTAATGAATGATAGGTACACCCGCTCAGCCGCTCGAGCGGCCATTTCACGGTTGTTATCAACATATTGGCGCAAATCCATGCCGGTCAGCGCATAACCACAGCCCGTGTACAAATTGTGGATCTTTTCGAGATCTGCATTGATATAGTCGATCGCTTTGCGAATAAATGAGGCAGGGTCGAGACGGGCGTCAGGGTCGTTGTTATTGCGCTTCATCCAGGCCTTCATCATGCTGAAACAGAGCTCAATTGGGTTGAGGTCGGGTGAGTATGGCGGTAAGAACACAATGCGGCAGCCATGTTGGTTCACTAAGAGTTCAGCAACCCTTGGATCATGATGAATTCGACAATTATCAAGCACAATGACACTGTTTGGACCAGGGAATGGCC